CCGTTTTTGCTCATATCTCGGAGGCAAAATGAGCAAGAACGCTCATTTGTACATCATTCTAGACAGAAATAAATGGCCTTTTAAGAAAGTGAACCATGGATGGGGAATTGTTGGCAGTTTTCTCAAAAAATGCTTGAATTCAAGAAGTTTTAGATTTGCGTGGTTTTTTTTGAATTTCAAAATCCACTTGAACATGACGCTGCTTTTTTCGAAGTTTCTCTTCTCAGGAACCATTTGGGCCACAGAATTCGTTTTGGCATCGTTGGATATAGAATTGAATGGGGGGGGGGTCATAACCCCATGAGAAATTGCCGTATTTACTTGTCGAACAAATCCTCTTCCCCTCTTACTATCATGTCACTATCATGTACCGCTTGTTTGCGGTGTTGTCATGATGACTGTTTCATTATATTTTCTGGTAATTACCGCCTAAAGTTCTTACAAATTTTTTAATATAAAATTTTGACACTGTTATTCTAATGGCATTTGCTTGTCGCTTATTACAAACTAAGCAAATATAACACTAAATATATTCATGGCTACCGTTTTCCTGGTATTTTCTTGTTTATTCCACTCATATATATCAAATCGAATGCCGAGCCGGCAAAGCAGCTCTCGTAAGTACCTACTTTTATAAGACTGTGAACCAATGTTGCTCCCATCGAAAAATGTAAACAAATGCATATGTTTAATCTGAGGGTAAAACAAATGAACCATCCGTTATAATCGAAATATTTCAATAAACTTCCTTTCTGTCATACAATAGGAAAACACGTCAAAGACGTTTAGTCACTTTTTCAAAATGACTGGATGCCAGTAAGTACAGGGTATTTGTAAATAACCAAACAGTCATTTTTATAATGCGTTAGCCTCATTAAGCATATAACTGGTTGTTGACAACTAGTTGGATCTAACTTGTAAACAAACAAACAACTGACGTGCCGCATCTATCATCTGTCTAGGACTGACAGATAATAACGTTATCCCTAATGACTATCATTTCCTGCCAGATTCCATTAGGAGGGTTGAAACTTCCTCATTTGCTAGGGCTTGTCGCCTAACAACGTTACTATCAGAATGCCAACGTTGTCACAGGAAAAATTTGGCATGAAACAGTCAACATTAGCTTATTGTCCTTTTTCGCGAGAAAAAACGAGAGTAGGAAATGGCGCCCAGTCCGTGCTTATAACATTGTACTATTAGACAGTATTTTCAATTGATATTTACGACTTTATGTGGTTGTTAGATTAAGAGATTATTCAACTCCACTTGAGGTAACTGGTGCGCCAATGGAAACGTGTATATTTGCAGCGCGTTTCTACATTGTTCGGACAATGCTAAGATTGAGAAAATAGATCATTAAATAGTACTGTCGTGGGAATTTGTTTTGGTAACTAACCGCTTTATTAACATCCCAACCGAAATGTGTTTAGTCATAAAAATCAGTTTAGAACTCTGATAAAGCTTATAAAATCCTTCCAAATGTGTCGTAAATATTGAATATGCATTACCTTTTGAGTACTTTCGGAGTATAAGAATCATCGGCCAATCATCTTGCAGCAGGTTGCCAGCACGGATCTTTGAGATGATTATTAAGTCATCGATGAACGTAGATTTATTCGGTGGATGGACTTCAGAACAGCTTTTCACCCTGCAAATAGCTAGCCTTAACAAGGAAAATTTTCGTTAATTCTATTTCGAAGTTTGTTTTTGAGTTATTTCACTTAAACCAACAAAAAATACACTTGCGACAATATCAATGAAATGCAAATGCATAACCATTGCAATTGATCTCCGATTGGATCAATGATAAATCTATCCGATTTTACCATTGATTAAGTAAAAGTTGACCAGTCTAGTGTCCCAGTTTGGCCAACAAGTAAAAGCATTTTTTTCTAGTTGTCTGGTAATTATTTCTACATACTGTTTATTTCCTTAAATATAACTAATTTTAATAGTGACTGATTGGGAAGGATATAAACGAAGTAAAGGTGCCTACTAATCATGTTATTATTATGGAAACCGCCGTTATGCCATCAGCAGTTCATTAAAAACTGCTTTAAACTAATGCGCTTACGGAAACAATTCACTGCTCTCAATTCTAATTACATGTAAATTTGAATTGCTTGCACGAATGATCAAATTTGTTAATCACTAAGGATGTAACTGTAAAAAATTATGATGTATTGTAATTTAAACGAATTATTGCAATCTATATGGTAATTATCGGAAACGTGAAAACAATTTTGTATCAGTATCAAGCAAGGAAATTGTCGTTTTTTCACAGTTCTTTTGCAAGGTAACGTCGACACGAGATTTGGAGCACTATCAAAGTCGACACTATTTGTACATGGTTCACACGTGAAATTCTTGTGCAGCTTAACACATCGCAACGGAACATTTGACTTTGCGGCAATTAAGTAATTACGAATTTATATAAATTGTTTCTATTTGTACCTTTTTTCTACTTGGTCCTATTGTTATCACAATTCTTTCTTTAGACCTGTAGGGCTCTACCAAGGTGGCTACCTTGACATTGCGATCTTGAACAAGCTCATTAAGTTGCAGCGAGTTACGTTGAACTAGAATTAGTGTAACGTGACGAGCGCTTCAAAAAGATCGCCGTAGATTCACCTAAATTTAAGTAGCACGCGCTATTGAGCCTTTAATTCTTCAATTGTCTTATTTGTTGCACCTAATAAATAAAGGTATATTGGTTATTAAAACCTAAAACTCCATTGATATTTAGTGGCGTGCGTGTTTCACACGTGCCTACTTCTCAATGTGCTAATAACGGGTTTAATTAATAGCTCTGGCGTTAGAACGGTATCTACTATTTTAAATTTCACGGTACGTTCAATTTCCAGCATTTTTCACCTGTGACACTTTTTGCCATTAAATGATTGTTGAAATATGTAGTGACTTTTATTAATTATTAGTCAGGTGTCGTAAATATTTTTGTAAATGGCGATTTTGTGGGGTACCACAAAAGGGGTACCTAAAACTGTTGTTTGCTGTGTTAATGGGTCACTTCGAGGCGCCGACTGTCGAAACCGTCAGGCATCCCATGCCATGAGCAAAGATTAATAACAGTTACATTTACGGTATCGAGACGCCTGTGCACGCATATAACTGGTCATTCGACTACTTTGGATATTTTAAAAGAAGCAGGTGCAATACCAACCGGGAATCGATTCCCTAATAGTATTTTTACCAAACTGGGTTCTACATTTTGCTGTTTTTGCTAGCTATTTAAGGCCCTTGTCTGTACCATGTTGCAATTATTTGTTGCGTAGACAAAGTTAAATAATTCCAAATAAGCCGTGCCTTATAATTTTATACTAATTATTATATTAACATAGGATTAAGCTGTTTGATGAGTAAATCGTAAAATATAACCCATAGTTAACATTTAGCACTCCCAGATTCTTTTAAATACCGACACGGTTGTGCAAGTTTCAATTTCTTGCTCGAATTGTGTTAAATCCTTGGCATTTTTCGAGTTCCTGTTTTATGATACCTGGTGACGATGAGAATTTTCAAGTCTAGAATTGAAAATAATCGTTGTTAATCAGAAATGTCAATTCAAGAGTTATTAAACAACGACGACAGCCTACTTCTGCTGATGATGTACCCACATGGCTGTTCCTTCTTATCACGCTCATGTAGGTGCACGGAAAAGAAATTTTATTATCCTCGGCGGTCAATAAAGGCCGGTGAACTTGATGGTAGCAGGTCGTGTGGAATTCCATTTCGATTTGGTCTTTGTATAGTGTTCATTGAATATTAATTAATCACTCAACAACAATGAGTGTATTTTTTGTTGAATCAATACGCCACCCTAACCCACTTAAAATACACATGTTTTACATTCACTTTGGAAAATGAAGTACCTAACTTGTCTCGGCTGAGTTTAGCCATCTATTAAAGTACCTAGAACTAAATTTTCAGGTGTTGAGTAAGCAAATTAGAGCCAGTTGCAAGGCTTTTTCTACATGCATTTCATATTTATAGTGGTAGTCGACAATATTGCATTGCATACTTCTTTGCTGATAGATATAGATGGAATAATCAACTGATAATATGATATTATTTCGTTTTAAAGTTCACAAATGGACTGTAAAAATACACGAACTGTTACGTCCTACTTATGGCCAAAACAATAGACCATCCTAGATTGCTATGTGGGTAGACATTAAATTTCAGTCTATTTAATTACAATTTTCGAATTCTTGATAGAACAAAATTTATCGACATCTGCATGAGATTCATTAATAAACTCGCTCAAATGAACTGACAAGTAACGGATCGGTATTTGCTTAGAATTACGACATTTGTCGAATGGTAGACGTTTTCAATGCGGAAAATGGACAGCCTTGATCAGAACGTTACACTCTGCTTTTTGACACAATTAATTTTAAAATTTGACTTTTTAGTTACAATAATTAATTCGGAACAGTTTGTATGTTCTGTCATAACTGTCAAATGGCTTAGTTTGATTGGAAGTTAATTAATAATGGACTATATTTTCAAGTAATTTCAGAATAATAGGTTACTGTTGCCTTATGGGACTCGAATTTTGCAAGTTAATAGAATTAAAATGAYAAAAAACTGACCTAAGCCARAAAATATGTATATGCAAAAATCCGTTTGCAACAACATTCAGATTTTTTAATTTTAACTAGTTTTTCGTTTTTTTTTTTCTATTTTGTATGTTAAGCCTCTTTASAGCATGGGTAGTTTTTTTACAAATCTGTACYACTTTGTTTTAACGTAAAGAATCCAAATATTGTAATTAACCTGTGTGACCAATGCMCAAATRATTTGGCGAATCTCACACTACCTACTCTTCCAAATCTATACTAAATAGACCTAGAAACTATGATTGATACTGACCGACAATTAAAGGCTCCAATAGAGCATTTGTGGCAATCTCACCTAAGAAGTAATCCTCCATTTAACACCACTTTTACACCATCACCTTGCCAGCCCAACAATCCGAACACATTCACCAAGAAGAGCAAGCTTGCGTTTCCGATCGAACCACTTCTTGTACTCGACTGGACTACCTTCAGTACTTCTCGCCGTTCCACCAGTTCGATAGGCTCCTGCTGCACCACCTGTGACTTATCTTCACGATGTAAGGTGTGGTTGAACGTCCCTGATATACCCACTATAGATATTAGGAGTGCAGTACACGCATTAAAAGCCAACGGAAGAGCAGGATGTGAATACTTTTACTGAATAAGTAAGCCGATTGACAACTCTTAAATTACCCACAARTTTCTAAAATAAGCAGCACCGAATGAAGCAGAGGGAATTTGAAAACTTTTGAAACAAAAATTGAGCCAATATTATTTATTTCAGCSAGTTTACCTACCCTGTTGCTGTAACAGAATAATCGGCATCATTTAACAAATCACGTATCTAGTACCGTTAAATAAGATATTTTTCAACTAGCACGTAACCACTTCTCTGAAGCCAAAATATGTACATATTTTATAAGATGTAAAAATAATCCACTATAAACAGTTGAAATTGTTCGAATCATATAGTTTCTGTGGCTAAGTGGCTTCTTGCCGCTTCCATCAGATGCTGCTACCGTAATCTATGGGAATTGGAGCGTGTTACTTAATGCGTCGCTAATAAAGCACTTTTGCGTAACAATGCGAATGCTTATGCAAATATTTTGCATAATTATATACAACACTCGAAACTTAAGAAACAAATTACATATGTGTATAAACTCCATCACAAATACTAGAAAACTGGAAAATCGATCGTTATTTTAGTATTTAGGTCGAAGCTTTAGTACGGATTGAAAACAATTTTGAGCAAAGAAATAATTTTCTTTGGTGAGTGTTTTAATATTGTGAGAAACCGGCTATGCTTCATGCATAGAAAATCGAAAATTGAAAATTCAGTACCTTAATTCATATTTTTGCAAGATTGCAATTATTTTTCTTACACTCTTCTTCTTTCTTTCTTTCTTTTAGAGTGCCACCTGGTTTGCCAGACTTGCGTACCGGTCTTCTCAACCAGAAACTTCAAATGCTGAATTGTTGCATTGAAAGGAAAATTGCTAGAGCGAATCTAAGCTATGTTTCGGCCGAAAATTCTGAAGATTCAGACGATGAATTCTTCGATGCTACAGATCAGGAAGAATTTGAGGAGAGACGAAAGGGGAAGTACTGCCCCTGGGATCGCCCTGTCGGTAGATTAAGCCCTTTTGCAAACCTTAAGTTGATCAAAACCGGCGATCTTCTGTACATACCTTTCACTCAAGATCCGGTTTTGAAAACCGAGGACCAGTTGGAGGAAGATACTGGTCTGTGCTGATTACTATATCAATCTAGAGGATGTATATATTTAACTATTTTCTATTTAGATATCCTGTTAAAGCTGGGAACAAATAACGAGGCTTCGCAACTTCGAGCTAGGATAATGAGCGCAAGTCTCTTATCAGACATGCAGTCTTTCAAAGCTGCCAATCCAGGAGCAGTGTTGGAAGATTTTATTCGATGGTAATGGTTCGATAACTGGTTAGTTTGAGTGACTCAAATTTAATTGCAATTAAAAATGCAGGTACTCGCCCAGAGACTGGATTCAGGCAGAGGAGCTCGACGAATACGGACAGAAACAAGGCGCGTTAAGTCAAAGGATGCAATTAGAGGGGAATATTTGGATGGAAATGTGGCAAAACTCAAAGCCAGTCCCTGCTCACCGTCAGAAACGATTGTTTGATGATACGAAGGAAGCAGAAAAGGTCTTACAGTTTCTGGGTAATATAATACCTAATATGTGAATATATTAGCATATGGTCAGTGAATAATATTTCTGCGTACGAGTTCCGTCCATACGAATTCTTAGCCAAACTGGTCCGTTTTCATGAAAACAATGTGACAGAATTGATAACAGGCTAAGATAAGAATCCGCGGCTAGTTGTATTGTAGCCGGCTCCAGTTTAAGTCTAACATTTTAAAGAATGATATTCCACAGAGCGTAAAATCTAGACTTCAGAATTGTTCTTCAGGGTATCACAGACTTGAAGTAAAAACCGTACCTTTGTACAGGGTTATTCACGCTATACGACACGGACGTTCGCGGCTAGCCCGTTTGTTTTTTGCAAAGTATTATTTGATGAATCCACAGAGGCCTATCGGGTGCACATTTTCAAAATATTTTTGTAATGTACAGAGTGTCCCAAAGGCCCTAAAAGTATCAAAGTTGTGTTTTTCTAAATGAAATACCCTATATATTATTGCATTTT